TTAAGCTTAAAATTTAATTAAATTTATAAAAAAAATCAAATTTTTCATTTCTGTCCAAGTTTAAATAATTCAAAATTTAAACAAACAAAATTATTAACTTATGTTCTTAAATTTACATAAAATAAGCTTAGTTGTTCTAAATATCTTTTTTGTCATTTTTAGAATAAACATGGGTTAAAAACTTTTAGATATAATTGTTTATTAAATCAAATCAGTTTTAGTAAACATTTTTATCAAAAACATTAATTATTTTTTTAAAAATTATTTGATGTAAAAAGAATGTTAATGCAAAAGTTTAGACGTATTAACATAGTTGATTGATGTATAAATAAGTGTAAAAATATTATTTAGATTTAAAAGTAGAAGTTTAACAGTAACATAAACAATTGGGACTGTAAGAAAGTTAATACATTTGTAAAATCACAAATAAATTAAAAGATTTATATCAACATTTTCTTGTAATAGCATAAAAATAAAAACAGCCAAGCAAATTTTGATAATTGTTGTCATTTAAATTAAATATTCCAAAATTTCATCTTAATTTTCTTGAATTAATAAATATGTATTTGCTTTCAATAGTACACAGAGTGATAAAAATTTAAAAATTAAATATTAATATCTATAAAATTTCAATGCAGTAGTGATAAAAAGCAGGAGGCTTTAAAAGTGCTCGTAATAATTTAGTTTTAAAGTTTTATTCAAAAATTATTTCTTGAAAATATTTTTAAAATGTCTTTAATGTTAGATATAATAGAAATTGCAATAAAAAGATTTTTTAAAAGTTATTACTGCTAGATTTGTTCTTGAAAACAAAGATTTTTACAATGTTACAATTAATTAGCCAATAAAATTTGCAATTTAGATCGTGTTTTATTACAATTTAAAAAGGTTTGTTTAAACTTAAGTTTTGATTTAATTTATCATTTTTTTTATAAATTAAAAGTTCATTTTATAGCTGATTTTTAAAGACGAAGTAGCCGGTATAGCTTTAAAAATAATTTTTTACCCCTTATTTTATGTATAAAAAGTTTAGATAATAAAGAACCAAATAATTTGTATGTTTTACATAAAAGTGTTAATACACTCCTATTTAAGAAACTAAATTTATTGTGTGTCCAAAAAGAAGCTCTTATGAAGACGTTATAACCCCCCTAAAAATTTAAAACTGCAAAATAATAAGTTTAAACTACTAAGTTTGAGTTAAATAATTATTGTATTGAGTTCTGTTTGCCATCAAAAGCAAAATAAAAGTTAACAAATTTATTATTTCATGTAAACCTTTCAAAACTAACCAGTCCAGTATTTTTACTCAATAATACTATTTCTCGATGTATACATGGTTTTATAAAATAAAAAAGGTTGGTTTGGAGATTTTAAGATACTTAAAATAACTAATATTTATATTAAATTAAATATTCTGTAAGTCTTTTAGAACCATCGCTGCAACGCAGTTGTATTTGATAAAAGCAATTTCCTGTTGTTTATGGTGCTTTAATTGCTATAAGTAACTTTGGACCGTTGGTTTGAGATACATATAAGAATTAAAAATTTATTAAATTTCTTGTAAGTCTTTTAAAACCAGCGCCCAACGTTAATTATTACAAAAAACTATTAAATCATTTTTTCTTTGCTTTTATAAAAAAAAGAACATTTGAACGGTAGTTTTAAGATACATATATATAAGGATTAAGAATTTATATTAATTTAATTTTCTATAAGTCTTTCAAAACCATCGTTCGACGTAATTAAATATGTAAATACTATAAAACTTATGCTTTTACTTGCTTTTACTATTTATAATAAATTAAATGAGTCAAAGATTAGCTCTTTTAACACGAGTAGCAATACTCAAAGTAGAAGAAGAGCTCAAATCTCATCTATTTACTATAAATGAGTACCTCGGGTTTAGGTATAAGTAAATCATGGTAGGATAGATAAATTATAAGATGTTAGCAGAAGCCTAAAGAGCGTTGTTTTACAACGAAATACAAACAATAACTAACCATAAAAAGCTGTTTAAAGCCAAAGATAATGAGCCTGTTAACATTAGGGATTCCTCTAGCTGGCTGGAAAAGTAAATAACCAGGCTAGATCTATAGCAATTTATTGTTTCTTACAGAATAGAAATATATTCTGTGGACAGGAGGGATAGTGCTTCACTGTGGTTCCCATTGGAAGACTGTGGATCATTTAGCTGCCAAGTGTGATCGAATGTTGGGTTTTGATTATATGAAAAGATACAGCGAAGTAGTTAGATGTATTCACCTTTTTCTATGTATTAAATATGGTTTTAAGGAGACAAAGAAGATACGTGGACATTCAGTTACGGAGATCATTGAAAATGAAAAAACTGAAATAAAAGTGGACACAAGAATATCTACAAATATCAAGTTAAGTTATAATAAGTCCGATATTCTTGTATTTGGCAAGAAGAAGGAAGAAATTATAATAGTAGAAGTTGGTATTACCGGTGTCACCAATCAGGACCGACTGAACATAGTCTAGAATGAAAAGCTAAGGAAATATGATCTTCCTGCAAATGAATTGGGACTAATACATAAGTCTCGAGCAAGAAAGGTCCCTTATGCAATGACATGGGATTGTGTGGTAACCAAATATCACAAGAAGTACACTGGGCAGCTGGAAATCCAGCCCTTCCCTGAAGTATACATGAAGTCTATTGTACTGAAGAAGACCTTAAATTTTGTTTGTTTGAAACAAAGACAAGGATTTTATTAGGAAGACGCTGAAAAGAAAGAAGTGACTAGAGCTGTGGGTGCAGCAGCTGAAAATGAAAATTCTAGAAAAGAGGAGATTGTGAAAGAAGAAGCCAAAAAGAACCCAATCGAACTAGTAAGTACAAGCAATACCATAGTAAATATGGACTGTGAAGTGCTAAAATCACGAACCAATCTGCAACTCTATGCACTGAAGAAACATGAAGAAGATGAAAGTTATAGAACGTTAAATAAACTAGTTTATTTATTTCTACACATCAAAATAAGGAAAAAGAAATATTATTTTCTAATAAGTTATTTGACTTAAAGTATCTTTAGGGGTATAATACCGCAAGCAAGAATGTTAAAAAAAATTAATTTAAATGGTCTTTGGTTCTAAAATTCTAACAATTATAAGAAAAATGGCTACATAATCACTTTTTACTACAAATAAACCATTTGCACTTGTTTTGAAAACAAACGTAACATTTAAACAAATTGTATCGTACATTTTAGTATATTTTAAAAAAAAAACATTTAAATTTTTTTTGATTCTCTGCATTGTATACTGTCCATTACAGAGAAACAAAAAAAAAGCTAAATGAATCTGAAACCCCTTACCTCTGTTTATTATATATAATATAATCGGTTTTAAAATCTTTATTTTAAATCTAATTAAATTAGATAAAAAAAATGCTTTTAGAAAAACATAATTAATAAAATATAATTCTTACTTTAGAACATTTTTCTTCAGAGCTCAATTTTTACAAAGTTATTTCTAAAACAAACATCGTTCCAACTAAAGTTCTAATTATTATTAAATTAATTTTACGTTTCTGTTATAATTTTTTAACAGTAAAATATTTCAGTTAGAATTTTCTCTTTATCATTATAAATTCCTAAAAAAATTAATTTATATTTTTTGTGATAATTAACCTTTTTGATCATATTGAGGTGAGACATTTAAAAGTCATTCTATCAAAAAATAATCTAATGCTGATTGATATTGTAATTGTAAATTCTGATAAATTTATTAAATATTTCTCCCGTTAAATGCTATTTTTGTTTCAAATAATTTTTTGTTCAAAACAAATATTAGATCATAATGTACCATTAGATCTAAGAATAAATATATCAAGTACCTCAAGAGCATCAAAAAATAAAGGATTATGTGGGAATGTAGATATACAACAAAAGAGTCAAGAACCGATTAAAACAGTAGATAAATATTTAGATGTAAATCAACCTGATTCTAATTTATTAACGAATTTTACAGGTAAAGATTTAAACAGTAGATGTAAAAACGTTGATTATGATTTATGTAATTTTTCGTTTCAATAACTTAAGAGAACAATTTGGTGCCACTCAGTTGCACAAGAAGTACATTTATTACTAATGTATCTAAGAAGCAATATTGTACACCAAAACAATCGATAAGTGACGAAATATGTCTCAAAACCTCAAACAGTAGTGGAAATGATACAGCAGAACATTCTAAAATTAATACATCTTGGAGTAATAATAAGAATTTATTATTACATAAAAATCAAAATGATTTAATACAAAAGCAATGTGTTTGCTCAGAAAAAAACACTCTTTTGCAAAAGAATATTATGTTTTGATTTTATTAAAAAATCAAAATTATTACTTAAAGACTAATGGTGTTTAAACGATTGCAGCACCATTTAGTAACTATAGTATGAGTATATCATATAAAAATTTTTAAAAGAATAATAGAAATATGCAAGATAAAGGGACAAATTAAGATTTGATATTATATCTAAAATTTAATTAAAGAACAATGTAAATTCTCAAAAATCTAAAAGTGAAAGAAATAATATACCATTGACCAAGCATTTCACACCTAATAAGTAGAAAATTTATTTTAAATATAAACATTCCGAGTTAAACTAAAAAAAGTTTTATAAACTTAAATTTAAAAATCGAATGCCGCAATTTATTAAAAAACTTGAAATATCTAATCTTTCAAGTTTTTTAGAGACTAAAATGTAATTTATATTAATACAAAAAAAAAACGAAAAAAGAATTTATAAATTCATTAAATCTAGCATGTAAAAAGTTTGACGGAAATGTCGAAGTGTCCGAAAACTCTTAATTGTTGAATCAATTTTTCGAAGTTTACATATACATGATAATAAATGTATCTGTTTTTCCAACTGTACTTTTTGTCAAATTAAAAAATTATCAAAACGTTTTAATTAAAGATTTAATTTAATGTACAAAAAATTGATAGAAGTAAGGAATATAATTAAAAAAAGAATTATCAAAAATAAAGTTTTTTATAAGATCTTTTGAATTGAGTACATTTTCATTAAACATATTTACTAAATAATATTTTCTTTTATGTTTTTTTTCATGATCTTGTGACAGATTAAAACATAAACTAGATTTCTATACCGAAAATTTCTAATTCTTATGATGTCTTGGTAAATATGATAATAACATATTTACAACTATAAAATATATCTCATCTTTTAATCACAGTTCTCAACAGCTTGTGTTTTGTAAAAGCATAGTATTCTAATTGCATTTACTTTCTTTTATAATTGTTCAACTAAATAACTTTAATATAATAAAATGGTTTTGTGATGTGTCGCGTTGCACCAATATTAAATCAATTTAATTTAACCCTTCTTAGTCTCTACTGCTCTGCATTTTCTTTAATAGTTTTGATCACGGATTTTACTCCTCAAAATCTATAACTTTTAACTCGAATTTTATACGTTAATAAATTTATTGCCAATTTGTAAATTTATACAATTCCTTCAAATATTTCGCATCTCGCCAAAGACTACACACTATTATCCAAACTTAAATTGAACATAATAATCTCGTGACTTCTTGTTCACAGCCATCGTTCGACAATGATTTTTTTGTATCGTCCTATAATAACAATATACATAATAAGGGGTAATAAAATAATAAAATATGACATTAAGTAAAAATAACAAATCTTATTACTATACTAAAGTTCAAAACTTTTTTGTTTTTATTTTAAAAGTTTTAAGATTTATTTCAAGAATACAATTAAACTAGATTTTACAGATAATATACAACTTTCTTGATGTGGCACAAATTACTAAAGACAAAATGATATTTTTCGCAACTTAAGATGCATATCATACTTGTTACTGCAATATTTAATCACATGAAAAAATTTTTTAATATGGAAATAAAGCTTATTTTTAGCTATACATAAATTAGAAAGTATGAATAGAACCAATAAATATAAGTTTAATGCCGATAAATATCCTAGACTGAAGTGTACGTCTTATAGGCATAATAATTGCCAGAGCAATAAGGCTTTATTATAAAATGCTTACAAGAAAGTTTTATTAGACCCTCGTTATTGTCTTATTTATACGTTAGATAAGCAAATTGTTTAAGGAAAAATTTACTTAACTATTGATAAAAATTATAAAGTAAATACATAATAGATGCAATGAATCGATTTTTGCTTTCAAAAATGAAAATTCTTAAATTGTATAAAAGTATTAAATTTATTTAATATCAAGCAATTAATTAAGCACTTTTCTTTATAGAAAATACTACCTAATAAAAAGAGTCATCAGAGCATGTTCTAAGTATATTATGTACAATACTATTCAATCAAAGGAATTTACATCACTACACACAAAATTTAACATTAAGCCTATAAAAACATAATCGGCCCTTTTCAAGAATATTATATAATCGCAAGCAAAAAAAAATTTTAGGCAAAAAGAATAAAACAAATTTGGTAAATTCTGTAACAATAATCAAATTGCAAAATTTACAAATAGCCCATCTTTAATATTCAGACGTGGATACTTTATGTGAGGCAGCCAAAACGAAAGTATTGCTCCAAGAGAGAGCAGATAAAGTTTGTCTTCTAAAACCTGCTTGTTTATTAATTTGATATCCATCTTTGTGAATCCTCCATAATACTGTCCTTTGTGCTTCTTCATTTCTTTGCGTAACTCTTTATTTAAAAATTTTTATT